AAATAATGATCTTTAAAAAAAAACATCATATGACCCCTTTAAATATTTTGGAGTGTGTTGCAGCCATCAAAACCAAAATCTGTTTATATTTACAAAATTAAATTGCCAGTGAAAACATTGGAATTTTTTCTTTGCACTTTAGTCAATTAAATGAAGGTTAAAGAGAATAAGCAACTAACATTTTGTTGATTTTATGGCATTTCACAAAACCTCTCAACTTTTCTGGAATTGGGGTTGTATTAAGATTGTCCTGACCATACCAACTGGGGGGGAAAAAACATCCTATATGTCATCCACCATTTTCCCATTGTTGCAAGTGTGAATTTGAGGAGCTGAGAATTTGAAGAAGTTTTTTTTTCACATTACATTTTGATTCTTTTTTTTTTTCCTTACAAGGGGCTGTTTGTGAGCAGTGAAAGACCTCTACAGCCCTGAAAGTCAGTGGAGAGCATGTCAACTAGACGAGCCCCAGAGACAGATCCCCAGCTAAGACTGCATCAACTAGATGACCATCGGCACAAGACCATGAGCACTAGACCTCTGCATAATCTGACCTGTGTTGCAGCCTGGAATTAAACCATGCCATGCTGGTTTCATCTGGCCAGAGGAGAACTGGTCCCCTGACTGAGCCTGGGTTCTCCCAAGGGTTTTTTTTCCATTTCTGTCACTGATGGGAGTTTTGGTTCCTTGCCACTGTCGCCTTTGGCTTGCTTAGTTGGGGACAATTGACTAATTGCACAGACACTATTGGAAGAGAGCTGAACTGGAAGATGACATCACTGAATCATCAATGAATTGACTTCAAAGGAAAAATGACTGTTATTGTCCTCTTGCATTATTGACAAACAATTTTCTTGTTTGACACTGTAAAGCTGCTTTGACACGATCTGTATTGTACAAAGTGCTATATAAATAAAGGTCACTTGACTTGTCTTGTTGTATAATACACTGCCTGATGCACACAAATATTTAATTAGACTAGCTTTAGCTTTGATCACAGTGTGAATTTGTCATGGCATTGTACCAGCAACATCACAGCATTTATTTCCATTAAGAGTTGCATTCTTTTTTGGCCAAGATTCATTGTGTGTATTGTACTCTTCATATGTAAAAATGATTTCTCACGCTCTCTGGATCACTTGTCATCCCTGAATATGAGCATGGGCACATCTTCCAAAATGTTTAAGAAATGAAAGCTACACAATGTATCAATTAGGATTCAAAGAATTGTTTCCAACATATAGCATGCCAGTAACATTAATCGCTGCAATAATGAAACCGCTTCCCCTTGTAACATACACACTATAGCATCACTTCTTTTCTCACAGTGTCTAAAACGATTCGTTCAAAGATAGTCTCTTTTCCGAGTACCTTCTCTGCTCTGATTGGTCAGATGGCTGGGTCTGTGGTGATTGGTCTACCACTGGAAAACAAAACTACACTATACTATATCTGAATTTCAGCACCTGAACCTTCCCAAGCAACTTGACTCAACGATC